ATACAAATATTATGTTATACTTAATGAAATTTAATATTAAATGGCCATCATATTTTATCATTTTAGAAAAAAAAAAAAAATTATGAATAATGAAATTTCACCTTTAAAATGTGGTTAATAAAATGTGTTCGAAAAAAAAAAATTTATTTACGATTAATATTTTTTGTGGTCTCTAATATAATTCTAATAGAAGAAAATTCATAATATTATGTTCATATTTGTATATATATAAAATATCTGTGGGTGTATACTTATACATTTTTTTCTCTTCTTAAAGGACATTATAAAATATTCATAATTCAATTAAGAAAATTGTTTTTCGACTTTATATATATATATGTATAAATGCCCGTATTTTGTATATAAGTTCTACTTGTTTATAAATATTTAAAAAAAAAAAATATCTTTAACATTTTAATAAATGAAAATTGATATCATGTCATGATATTAATTTATAATAAATTATTTATATATAGATAAAATAATCATATACCTATAGTATATTATTGAAAAAAAAAGAAAAATGGGTTTGGAATATAATATATTAATATTATAACAAAACCGCATATATCTAATATATTAAAATTTGGTTAAAATAGCAATTTTCTTATTAAATTTGCCCAACTTTTCTTAATAAAATTAATAATTTATGATATTATAAAGGAATAGAATTTAAATAAAACAGGTAAAAGAATTTATTTTTTTCTTTTGGGGAATAAAATTAATTTTTAAATATTTCATTATATCAATTAAAATGATAACTGTGTAGGTATGAATTATAGAACAGATGTTAAAATAAATTTTCGTTTAATAGAATTTTAAAATTTTAATATGATTAATATTTTGTCAACTCAATTTTCTTTTATAATTTTTTATAATATATTTAATTTTCATATTTAATTTATAAAATATTGATGAGAGCCTCAATATTAATACAAATCAATATTACAATATATGACAGTAGATAACAAGAGCGACAACAACTGAGATTATAATTGTATTATTTTTCATGTTAATATTATATTTCTTGAAATTTTTTTATAATGCTAATAATATTTTTTGTTTTTTCAAAAATAACTCTCAATTTGTAAACCCAATTAGTCTATTTACACGAGTATACATTGATATATACACACATATGCCTTTATTTTATGTTTCTTACACCCTCTCTCCCCCTATAAAAATTTAAAATTAATTGTGTCATAAAGGTATGTTTGAATCATGAGTTGAATAGTAAGAAAGAGTAAATGAAATTATCAATTTCAGTCAGATTAATGCATTTGCAAATGAATATATACTCAATTATATTTCGTATTATGCACTTTTATAACAGCAATACCCCTGCGTATGTAACTATTTCACGAAATTAATAAAAATTTAACTATCATTATAAAAATTCATAATGTGTGCATGGAAAACTTAAACCCATGAGCAGGGATTATTTTTCGGGAGAAAAGGAAAAAAAACTCATGAAAATGATTTTTTAATTAAAAAAAATTTCCCCAATATAAATTCAAAAGTATTGCCACATTACACAATTAAAAGAAATAAAAAATAATGAAAAACAACTTTTATCATTAAAATGCGCTCTTAAGGAAAACAGAGAAAAAAAATTTTTTCTTTCAACAAAAATTCAAATTATTTGCGTTTTTATAGTTGTTTCGTTTTTTTTTTTTTTTTTATAAAAAAAGACTAAAGTTTTTATCTTCTTTTTAAAAATTGTAAATAATATTTTTTCTTCCACTATCTTATCATCAAAGTAAAAAGAAAAAATTAAAGAGAAAAAAAAATGCAAACTACTGTCAAGTCAGTTATTCAATACGAGAATTTTTTTTTTTAAATTATTGCTGTATAGTTTCTCCCTTTTTCTGTGCTTATTCTACTCTCTTATCCTTTTAAGAAAAAAAACCTCTTATCTTCTTATCCCATTTTTAAACTATTGTTGTGTATCTTATTACAACTTCGATATTATATTTTCTTAAAAATATTCAAAAATTTTTTTCTGTGTTGTTAAAGGAAAAGTTTTTTTTTATATAACAAAATCAACAAATAATAATTTATTTTTTTTGTTCTTCGAAGAGAAAGAAGAATGGTTATGGAAATAGATCATTAATATTAAAATTTAAAACCAAAAGAAAATTCGAACTTCTCGTCAATTTTATATCGAAAAAAGAAAACGTATAATTTTAAGAAAAACTGTGAACAATACTTACAGATTTGTGAATTTTGAAATGTTTTTAAGTAAAATTCAAAATAAGAACGCAACACAATAATATTGTAATATAAATTTCATTTTAAATCAAAAAACAACATCAGATGGCGATAGTTTGAAATCATCATATCTTGTTTTTTATTATACAAATCAAAATTGTATTGTGAATAAATCAAATAATTTTTGAAAATTATTTAAAAATATTCCAAATCATTTTTGAATATTCTAACTTTGTAACTCTTATATTTCAAAAAATACAGAATGAAATATTTTCCACACGTACAGTATAAAAGATGAGCTTCCATTTCATTTCATATACTTTGTTATAAAAATATTTATTTTTAATATTCATTTGTTCCTCAAATTTTTTTGTTTTGTTTCCCTTTTAATTTGCATTTCAAGGAATTCAAATATTTGCATTAAATCGAATATGTCAATCATATTGTTTGTACTCATTCATACATGCATGTAGGAAATATTCGAAAAAGGAATATGTTTGTGTGTATGTACAGTTTCTACGTAAATATCATCTTTATACTCGTATTATTCACTGATTATATTATTTTTCTTGTTTTGTTGTTTTTTTTTTCTCTGAACTTTTGAACAAAATTGCATATCCTCTTATTATTATTTTTTATGTATATATGTATCCTTTTGTGTTTGTGCTCTATTTTCTTTGTATTAAAATATTTTTTATATTTTTTATAATTTTGCTTTCATTTATTTTTATATGCTCTTGTAAAATGATATTATTGTTCTTGGTGTCCTTTTGAAATATTCGCTAGCATTTTATTATATTCATATAGATTCATTGTAGTTTTATGAGTTTTAACTTTTATTAGATAAATATAAGGAAAATTTAACTTGAATTTTATCATTTTTGTTTTGTTATATTATTCTTTTCAAATGTAAATCAAAAATTTTTACATAGCTAGATAAAGTTTTTTAAACTTACAAAAATATATTTAAATAAATTATAAAAAAAAAAGGAAAAAAAAATCTCATTTTTCTCCCTAAAGGTTCGTTCTTCTCTACTTTTAACATTAAAATGTAAAATGTAAATGATATGGAATTTTCTCTTTAAGAGTTATACTGCTTATAAAAATTACTCCAAAATTTGAGTATTTTTATGATGTTAATATAAATAATTTGAAGATGAGAGATAGTATCAAAACAATAATAAAGAAAGAGTACCAAATTTCAAGAAAATGAGTGCAATTGTCCCGGTATTAAATATTAATTAAGGTGATTTTTAATACATCCCTAAAAGTATGCAAAATATTTTCAATTTTATTACTAATTACTAATTTAAAAAAGGATTTTCGATAGAATTTTTAGTGCAATTTGTAATTGTCATAAAAGAAATTTTGCGAGAAATATTCCTTTAATTATGGGAATTAATTTTTTAAGAAAACAATTACAATTATTTTAAAATATAATAATTTCAAATCACAATTATATTCACCATCATTATTTCTATAACTATGTGACATGTACATACATCATATTGTTGTCAAATGTCAGAATTTTAATTTAAAATTCACAATAAAAAATAAAGTTCAAAGTACGAGTATAAAAAAAAAATTTTTTTTCTACATCTCTTTGGAAATTTAAATATTTTAATTTTATTTCATTTTACAATGAAATGTGTCATGTCAGTATAGAAAATAAAACATATACATAACACATAATGTACATTAAATAATTTTGTTTATAGTTGGCATAATAAACATAAAATAGATTAGATTTTCAACTGATTTTACTCTGTAAATTAAAAATTTTCTTGTGTATATGCAAATGTATAATAAAAATAAAAATTTAAAATAATGATACGGACATAAAATTATGTATGTCATTGTGTCATCAGGATAATATTATGTAATATTAAACTAGACATTAAAATAATATGAAAATTATAATAAAATTAAAATAAATAAAATGAAATTTAATGTCATTAGAATTTCATTTAGATTTTATATATATTGTGAATATTTCTGTTTTGCGTTTCATTTTTATATGTGAAAATTGAATTGGGAATTTTTATTTTATTTTTTTGCGATTTGTGTTTAGAATGTTAATAAAATTTTATTACAAAAATGTACAGATCAGATGTACTTACATAAATGTATATTATGACATTAGAATTTATTATGGATAGTTATTGTTGTGCAATTTAATAAAATCTATTGATATTTTAAAATTATTATTGCAGTTTATTGAAAATATTTTATTAGGAGCTGAAGAAAATGCATGTGTGTTTTGTCTTTTGGGAGGTATACTGAATCGTTTTAACATTAAAATTAAACTATCATTAAATTTTATAATTATTTAAATTTTAGTATTATTTTCGATATTAAAGCTTATTCTTTGAGAACAAAAATTAATGGTCCATATACAGTCGACATTTATAGTATTGTCCTATATTTAGATTACGGATATTAGTCCACAAATTATTGTGAAAATTTATTGATTTTTAAATTATAAGATTTAATTGTACGATATGAGATTTAATTGTATAATAGATTAAAATCGAGATTAATTTAATAATAATTAAATATGATATAGGGACATAAAAAATAGAATGAGAAATTTATCGACTTTGTAGCAATTTCTTCAATAAATTTAATAAATTTGTTTTCTATACAATTACTGGTCTACATGGCATTGAATTTTAATAATCAAAAAATTATAAAATTTTTGACATATAAATAATTTTAAAATTTTCCCTTATGTGTTTTATAATTGAAAATTTTATTAAATATGTATCTTTCTTTTTTGTTATTTTTAGGTTTGCAAGGCATTAAATATTATCTGTGAAATGGAATATTTTGGTTTAGAACATTGGACACCAAATCAAAAAGAAACACGTACCCATCAATGGATTAATTTAAGGAATCGTTTAAGTCAAGATTCTGGTAGTAGTAGCAGTATTCAATTAATGTTAGCGATACGTGTTAAATTTTGGGTACCAGTACATTTAATATTACAGGAGAGTGCAAGAAATTTATTTTATATGCAAGCAAAAGTTGATTTAATTGAAGGACGTTTATTAGCAAAAGATTGGAATAATGCTGCAAAATTAAGTGCACTTTTATGTCAAGCTGATGGTATTCGTTTTAATGAAGCATGTTTAAAAGCAAAATGCCCACAAAATCTTAAAACAAATATTCATCAAGAACAATTAAATCATAAAGAGAAAAAAGAAAAAGAACCTGTATTGGCATTTAAAAAACGTCGTCTATCAAAACAAAAATCAGTTGAAAGTTTTGATATGCCAACAACAACAACAACAACAGCAACTGTTGCTGCATTAACAACAGCAATTGCATTAGGTAATGGAACATTACAAGAGAATACAGGAACTACAGGAACAACAACAGCAACAACAACGTCATCATCACAATCATCTTCATCATCATCTTCGTCAACATCAAATAATAATAATGGAACTCAACAAAAACAAAGACCACAATTACAACGTCAAAGTTATTCATTGGGTTCAACATCAGCATCAACATCATCATCTGGTTCATCAATATTCAGTTCAATATTAAATAGTACAAGTAATATTAATTCAACAACATCAACATCAAATACAACAATAAATGCCGCCAGTACTTCAACTACTAATAATTCATCAACATCATCATCTTCATCATCATCATCTACATCAGCATCATCGACAACAAATAATGGTTCAAGTAGCCATTGTTTAAAAAATTTTCCATTCTGTACTTCATCTACTTCAACATCATCGAATCTTTTAACATCATCAAATTCTTTATTGAATCAAAATAACAACAACAACAACAACAATTTAAGTAACAATAATAATAATTCTATTATTAACGATGAACAAAATTTACAAAAACAAACAGAAAATGATGAAGATGATAAAAATTCACCATTACGAATTTATGAAGATTACTTAATTCAACCTACTGATCTCAATTCACCTTATCCAGATGAATTTTTACGTAAAATTGCTATTGAACATGCAAAATTAGCAAAATTAAAAATGTCACCAAAATCAGCAAAATATTGGTTACTAAAAGAAATCCAAGATTTACCAGGATATGGTGAAGAAGTGTTTAGTGGCTTTACTGGTAATGAAAATTCAGAACGTTGTGATGTTGCTGTTGGTGCCCATGGTATTAGTGTATATAAAGGTGGTGAAAAAAGCAGGTTAGTTTTAAAATTTTATTTTTTACTATTTTATCCCTAAAATTTACAAGAATTTTAGAAAATAAAAAATTTTTATTATTAATTTTTTTTAAAACTAAAGCAATTTTTTTTTTGCAGCATCCCTTTTAGTGCCATTGCAGCAGCAAAATCATTACGTCGTGCATTTAAATTAGATTATGTTAATGATCATAATGAACGTAAAGAATTAGAAATAAAATTACCAAAACATTGTATTGCTGCTGGTTTATATCGTTCAATAACAGAACGTCATGCATTCTATGTCTGTGATAAGGTACGTGTAGTTGTAACAAGTCAATTTACAAGAGATCTCAAAGGTACAATAGCATCAATGTTTAAAGAAGATACAGAATTGGGTAAAAGATATGTATTTGATATACAAAGAACATGTCGTGAGGTACATGATCAAGCTCGAAGAATATTATATGAACGTGGTATTGAAATAACAGCAACAGCTGGTACAACAACAACACCAAATGGTTTAATAAATGGAAATAATGATATTGAACGTTATACAATACCATCTGTTGATTTAATTAATGGTAAAGTTGATCAGGCTATTAAAGAAAAAGAAGAACGTGAAGCAACAATTGAAAGATGTGTTGGTTCAAGAATAACAGAGGCGATGACATGTAAAATATGTATGGATCGTGAAATAAATAGTATGTTTAATCCATGTGGACATGTAACTGCATGTAGTAATTGTGCTGCAAAGTAAGTTTTATAACTATTGTAAATTTTTTTTTATATTAAATGCAATTATTATAGAATAATTTGATATTTCCCTGCCGGTTAAAGTTAATCAATTCGTTCGAAGGTCTGCACTTCATTCGAATCATTTCTCTTTACTGAATTTAGAGAGCATTAGAGAGAAAGGTTTTGTAGCAAAAAGGATGTAAAATAAAGTGTAAAATTTTCATTACTTTCAAGATTGTAAAAAGAATCCTTTAATTTTCAATTTGCAATTATTAAGAACTACATTCTTGTATATGTGTATTTGTTTAAGACCAAACTAAATTTACAAATCCAGAATCTTAATCCAATTATTAAGTATTAACAAACGTGTACCGAAATTAAAAAAAAATTCATAAGGAAATTGGCCATAAATTTTCATTAGTTTTAAAACCATTAGCAATATTTAATCATTTAGTAAAAGCAATACCACAAACCCTGTCAGAAAGAACTAGTTACCAATAGTTATGAACCAAATATAAGTCAAAAACTATAAGTAGAAACCTGCTTCTTAATCGCCCTAAAAAACACGAATTTCCATATTAATTAAAAAAAGTGGCGCGCGATACTACACAAATTTCCTCTTAGCTATAATTGCAATTTTCAATTAATTTTACCCATAAATTTTATTATAAATAATTTTTTTTTATTTTTTCTCTTCTTTCCAGATGTGAAAGATGTCCAAATTGCCGTATTAAAATTATTAATGTTGTTAAAGTATTTCTTCCAACTGAATTAAGAAATAGCACAGCAAAAAATCATTTACAACAGCAACAACAGCAACAATCATTAAATGATAAACACCAAGGTGTTTTAATTGAAGCCAGTAATTAAAAAAAATAAGAAGAAAATAAAAACAAAGATAAAGAAAACACAGGAGAAGTTAAAAACAAAAACCCGTTGTGAAAAGCTAATTATAAAACAAAAAGAATCACAAAAAAACAAAAAATGGAAAAAAAATCAGAAGACCAAGAGTAAAAAGAGAAAAAAAAATTATTTAAATTAAGTTTTAAAATTTTTCATTTATTTCACGTTTCTCAAAATTATAATTATTATGTATGTATACATAAAACTACAAAAATTCAACATACCTTTGTATTGTTACTTGCGGTGTTCCAAAAACTCTACAAAATTACTTTTTTCAAAATAAAAACATTAAAGAGTAACGAGTGAAATTTTATAATCAAAAATATTTGAGATGAAAATGAAACTGAGAGTAAATAAATAATTTATTAATAATTTTCAATTATAAAGTTTTACACAGTAACTGTGGCAGAAATCTGTTAACTGCAATGAAATAATTTAAGAATGCTTGAGTAAATTTCAAATTCTCTGTTGAAATTTTGTTGTACCTTACCTATTTTAGGATGAGAGTTTAATTTGGAATAAGTAATATGCTCTCATAATTTTATAAATTTCCTGTAATAATAAATTTTACTTAATCTATTTTAACAGAAATTTTTTTCAATTTCTCACAAGTTAAAAAATTTCTAAATTGAAGAATAAATAAAAGTACCATTGAGAAATTTTATATAATTAAAAATGAGAGTAAATATTTCTTCTCATAATTTAAAAGTAAAAAATTATTCCCAATCTGATTTTTTTATTTTTGTTTTTTTTTTTGTTTTTCATATAAAGTGCGAGAATTTCAATTTCTTTTTGTTTTAAAATTTGAATAATTTTTTTGTAATTTAATTTTTATTTTATTTTTATTTTTTTTTTTTTTTATTATTTAATTTAAATTTATTTATATAAGAAAGATTATAAACAAAATATGTTTATTATTAACTTTTTTTTTTATTTTTATTTAAGTGATAATTACCTGATAAAAATTGTGATTTTATTTTTTATAACAAAAACAAAAACGAAAAAAAAGGAAAATAACAAATAAAATATTTGTTATTTTCTGTTTTCTTTTATATACATATAACATATTAACATTATTATTAACATTTTGTTTTTATTTTAAGTTTTATATTTTATTTTTAATTTTAATTAAATAATTACTGTTATACTATATTACTTTATGTGTTTATATAAAAAAAAAAAATTTCTTGTGTACAATATTTTTTTTGTTTTGTAATAATTACAATAAATTAAGTTATTTTATTTAAAATTTAAATAATTTAACAAATTTAATTAAATTTAACATATATGTATATATATATGTATATATATATAGGGTTTTCTGTTATAACATGATATCTATACATTTTTACCATTTCGAGTAAAACACCATTGAATTTTTTTTTTTGCGTTAATTTTGTTTTACTAAAACATTAACTTGTGATGGTGTAGTGAAGATGGCTTAAAAATTTAGCATTTTAAAATGTTGCTATTATATAAAAATTTTAAGTAATACTACATTCATAACTTGTTTTTTTTGTCAAAAATATAGATATTATGTTCTGACAGAAAATCCTAGATATATTATAGTAAAAGAAAGAAATTTAATTAAAAGAAAAATTATAATCTTTTACTATTAAAACTTTTATATTTTTGTCCATCAATAAACATAATTTTTCCATACATAAAAGATTTCAAATTAAAATGAAAATTAAATGAAAAGTAAGGGGAGTAAATCGCGAATAAAAAATATAATTAAAATATTTTGTTTTTTTAAGTTTCAATTAAATGCATTTAAATTTCAAATTATTATATAATCAAACAAAAATATTAATAAAATAAAATTAGTATGCATTTAGTAAAATTTCTTCACTTGTACAATTTTAAAACTAATATCCTTTCAAATCAATTAGAAACTAAAATATAAATTTAAAAGGCAAAAATTTAAACCTTTATTTTTACAATATTTTAATTCTTTGTCACAATTATTTACAACAGTGCTTTAAAATCACTGTCATATCACATAATCACTACACAATACACAATCGTAAAATGTAATTCGAAATGTAATTCGAATGTAATTGCAAAAATGGAAAGGAAAAGTACCATAGAAACAGATTAGCGCTACCTTACCATTTTTCCGAATGCGAAATTCGTTTAATGGATATCGAATTAAATAGCAAGGCCCCATTACATTTTTGTTGCTATTCTTGTTTTTTTTCCTTTATATAGAATACTCTTACCCATCTATTATATTTGTTAATGGGTATTTTTGGATGTAACATATACTTTCAAACCTGTATTTAATTGAAACTTAAATAATTTCACATATAATGTAAAGCTAGCATTTAAGAAATTTAAAACAAAAATTAAACACGTATATATTATAAAAATTTAAAATCAAAAACAAAAAAATTTTGATTTTAACACATAAATATTATATAATATCAAAAAAAACCATACACATACAATTTGATGAGAAATTTATAAATTATAAACGAACATTATAATAAAAATTAATGAAATTTAGAATGCAGAAAAATAATACCATGCTACTTATATAAAAACACAATATATACATAAATATAATTAAAAACAAAAAAAAATCATATTATGTAGAAATAAATGTATATTTATTTTTTTAAAAAAAAAAAAACAAAAATTTAAAAAGAAAAAAATTACTAAAATTAAATAAACACATAAAAAAAAGATGTAATGTAAAATGTAATGTAATGTTAACTGTAATATTACAAATGATTTAAAGAAAAATTAATCAATGCAAATAAAAATATCTTAATTTTTTTTTTTTTAATTTTTTTTTAATACTTAAATTTACATTTATTCTCTTTTTCTGAATTTATTTTAATAATTTAACATTAAATTTTATTTTAAATAGAAATATCTTTGAAAAAAAAATAGAAATAAATCATAAAAAAAATCTACATTTCTCATTTCTTATAAATTTTTAATCAGTATTAAATTTATGTTAACAGATTTAAAGAACAGATCTATGTACATTAGTCCTGTATATAAAAAAAAACAAAAAGAAAATTTTCTAAAACTTTAAAAAAATTTGCTCTTATTTAACATTATATATTAATTCTAGAGTAAACTTTTAATATGAAATATTAAGAGATAACATCAATTAAATGAATTGCTATACAAATGTTAATTCATTCTGAATATATTCCTACTTAATGTTAAAAGAGATGTAAGAGGAAAGTTTATTAATTTAAACAAATATATATTTGAATTCTGCTCTTAAAACAATCTCTCTAATAAAATTTTATACTTTAATAATAAATAATTTTATTTATCGTATTAACAAATATTTTTCGTCCTATCTCTACTTACAAAATCAAACTGTACGAAAACAAACTTTCCGAAAGTCCGAAATTAAAATTATGTACATATAAAAATCGAATCATAAATATAAAAATCGAATTTGAAAATTTTTTCAAAAATAAAAGCTGAAATATTTATAACGACAACCGATAATAAATAATTGTGCTGAGGGGCTTCTTATCCTGAGAATCGGATCACTGATATGCTAGATGATATTTTATCATATTTCATGCAAAATATTGTGTCTATAAACAAAATTTCTCAAAATATTTTACGATAACTATCACTACCATTTAGTGATTTGCTTCTTAGAAAATTTCAAGTGGGCCCCCATTAATTGCGGTATATTTAAAATAAATCAAAAGATATTTCTTATTAAAATTAAATTTATTTTATTTCAAAATTAATTTTAATTTTAAAATTTTCAAAAAAAAAAAATATCTGAAGCATTTAAATAATTTCTCATTATTTTTTTTCTTTTATATTCATTCCTATTTTTTTCGATATTTTGTTTCTGTTTTATTGCATTATATTATTGTGTTTTTGTTGTAACATAAAATTTATTTAAATTTTTGAATTGAAACTACACAAACTTATATATATGTATGTATTTATGAAAATAGAAACAAAATAGCTTACAAAAAAATTAAATAAATGGAAATGCCTACATATAAAGTAAAAAGAAAAAGAAAAATTATTACACGAACAAAACAAAAAAAAATTAAAAAAAAAAAATATAAAAATTATCAAAGTTTGCAACTCCCATGCTTTAATTTTAAAACTTTATGAAATGAACACAATTTGAGAGAAATAAAAAAAAAATTCAAAATAATATTTAAAAAAAAAATAATATTTAGCTATTTATTTATATATGTTCTTAATTTTAAAATAACAAAACAAAAAATTAAATAATGATAATAAATGTTTTCTTTATATAAAATATTATGAAATTAAAATACAAAAAAAAAGAAACAAAAATAAAAAAAAAACAAAAAATATTATAAAATAAAATTTAAATTGAAATAAAGAAAAAAATTCAAAATATTAACAAAATAAACGTGTTATATAAGAGAAAATGTATTTTGCAAAAACCATATTTAAAAATCAAGAGAGAAAGAAATTATAAAATATATAAAGAAAAAAACAAAACATAGAGAACAAAAAAAAATAATAATAATAAAATGTTTATAAACTAAAAATGAAAAAAAATTAAAAAAAAAAACAAAAACACATGAATAAAATAACAAAAAAAAATTATTTAAAACAAATGTAAAAGCCTGTTTTATTTAGAATGGCAGATTTGAATCCAATGACAGATTTAATAGCAATGACAGATGAGCAATTGATAACCTGACCAAATAATTCAAACTCTCTCTAATGCATGTAGGTATATAGAAGACCATTCTAAAATATATGTTCGAATTTATTTCTCATTTTCCAAATTGTTTTCTTTCTCAATTACCGAAACTCATTTCAGTCAGAGTATACACCATTAACAGTACTGCTTTGCTAGAGAGTGGGATGTTTTGTTAAAGGTTACTCTCAATGTAAGTGTATGTTAATTTAATGTTATATGTATTTTGTACATATTTATGACAATTTAAATTTAAAGTTGTTTAAAACTGTCAAAACTCAACCACGTCACCTACAGCTTATGTATGTAAAAGGGTAGTTGAAACGAGAAAAATTACCAAAATTTTTGCCATCAAAAGATGACTTGATATTTTTACATAAAATACGAACGAAAAAATTCTTAATATTGAAAATTATTTCTTATAGTTAGAAAATTAGAATTGTTCTTTTCTTATAATAAAAGAATTTATTTATGTACACACATAGATATTTTCTTCTTAAAATAATAGTAACGTTATAACTGTTATTTTAAATTTTATCAGAAAAGTGTTCTTTTTTAACCAAAAACACAAACCCTATTCGCGAAAAATATAATTTAAAATTTTATTTGTTCTTATCTGGGACAAAAACCAATTTTGTTCAACATATTATTATGAACAATTATTTTAAAATAAATTCACCATAGGTATTCACTTGCAATATTTTTAATAAGTTTTGACTTTTTTTTAGTTTGCAAACAAAATCACAGTGTCACAGTATTTTTTTAATGCTATAATTAAAAAAGTTTTAAAACTCTCAAATTCTAGATTTATTTAGATTATAATATTCTTATAAAATATAAAAATACACATTCATAGTTTTGCCATTCAATATTTGTAAAATTAATATTGTGAATGGAAATTAAAAAACCACGTTCTTATAACTTGATATGACAGCATTTTTTGATATTACCATGTTTTATTAAAAAGTAGTAGGTTGATTTAAAATTTAATTTTTCAAATCTATAAAAAAATTGAATATATTCTTTCCACTTATTTAACGATTTGCAAATATATGCCGAAATTATATTTCTGACTTCAATTCAATTTTTGTTAACCTTGAAAATTTAGACTATATTTTCAATGTGTCAAAATTCGGTAGCCAACTTCCTATGTATATTGTTATAATATTATTTCACACCACCATTTGTCAAAATTTTCAAATCACCTTACTAAAACAATCTATTAAAGGGATATGAGTTGCCGTTTTCAAACTTACATTTAATATGTGCCAACTAAATAGCCCATAACCAATAATCCGATACAATAGATAGTTTTTAAAAAGACTCTTAAGTTTTTTAAAATCCTAATTTCATTTAATGTTAATTGTTTATTGCTACTATGATTAAAGATCACGAAATTCTGAAAATTTATTATTGGGATGTTATTAAATTTTCAAAATTTATCAAAAATCTTTAATTTCCCAGTGGATATTATTGGCAATGATTTTCATAAGAATTATAATTGATCAATAACTCACCTTCTTATTTAAAAGATTTTAAACATAAATACATCTACGAAGGCAGTTAGTTTATATAACAAGTAAATATATACATACATAATTAATTGAAAACTTCTTATTTGAAGTAATCTAAGAATATTTTGTTCCATTTTAGGAAAACATGTCAAAAATTTCTTAAGAATCGATCAAGAAAATCAAAATCCTTTTACTCCTCTGATGATGTATGTATTTAGTTTTAAGTAATAGATTCAATATTATTATATTTCTCAAAAGGTGGCAGTAGTCACAGTAAATTGTATTTAAATGTTTAAGAAAAAAGTATTTAAGTATTAATATGTATATTTTTTAAAGAAATTATGACATTTAAAATTTAAAATACCAAAAACAATGGGTAACAAAGAAATTCTAATTAAATCATACAAAAATCAAAATTGTCTTAATATAAAATCAAAAATTAAATGCAAAAGTAATTTGACAGACTACTTCAATGTATCTTCTTAAAATGATATCTAGAAATTAGATTTTATTTTTGAAATATTTTTTTTTGAAAATTTTTGCACATTTATATTTTGAGTACAAAAACGTATTACTTTAATTATTTGTTGGTATTTTCATTCATAAAATATAATAATTATAATTTTCTCAATATATTTTACACAATTTCAATTAATTTCTGACATGTAACACAATTTTTAATTGACGCGACATCTATTGTGTAATAATCGAAACTATAATAATATCTTTTCAATATGGCATCATTTCAAATCATCCGGTTGCTATCAAAAAATTTTGTTTTTTTTTTTTTATTAAAAAGAATACGATATATAAGATTTTAAAAATGGCGCACATAACACAATTATATTAATTGAAAAGAGAAAACTATAGTGATTTTGACAAAAAAATAAAAAAAGAAAAATGAAATTTCTCTTGTCATACAACAAATCACAAAAAAAAAAAAAAAAGAAAAAGGAAAACGAGAAGAGAAGGAAAAAAAAATTATAAGAAAAAAAAATAAGCTGCTGGTTGATGGCCGAAGAGTGAATAAAAAGTGTATTTTGAAAAAAATATAAAAAATCGTATTAAAAAAATTAAAAAAAAAATTTTTAAATATTTTATCAATTGTATAAAAGTTTAATAATGTAAAGACTAAATAAATTTTATAAAAAAACTTATTAAATAATAAAGAAAAATACAAATTTTTAAATTTGTATATGAAAGAACATTGAATAAAATTTTGCATATTTTATAATTCGTATTTTCTTGTAAACTTTACCAAAAAGGTAATTTTTTGGTTTCGTGGTATTTGTCGGTCGGTATTTTTTTTTTCATATACATATATATATATTTTTTTTTTGTGATTTTACATTTTTATTATTATTTTTTTTTTGTTCTTTTATAATGTATTGTACATACATATATACTTGTATAAATATCTAGATATGTTTCTTATATGCATATATATATAATATAAATTATATATATATATGTATTACATATATGTGTACATATATATCAAATTTATGATTTAATACCTATTAAATTTAAATGAAGAAACAAAAAATATAAATTTATAAAAGTAAATCTCATCTCTAATATTAAATTATTACATTAAAAAATTTAGTAAAAAATCTATTAAAAAAAAAATTTTAATAAAATATTCAATAATGAATTTTGTAAATTTTCAGTTTTCATTTTTTGAAATTACGCATTTTTCTGTTTTAATATTTTAAATATTAAATATTTTTATAAGAAAGAAAAAAAAAATTAAAAAAAAAAGGAAAAATATTAAATATAATAATAATGTGTATGAAGAAATAAAGAGTAAGAAAAAAAAAAGAGAAATGGAAAATCAGTGATCAAAATTTTTTTTTTTAATAAATTTAAAATTAAAAGAAAATTATATTTTTAAATTATAAAAAAAGAAAAATTTAAGTGAAAAAAATAATTCTAAAATTTAACAAAAAAAAAAAATTTTTGGAATTTTAAATAAATTTTTTTAATAATTGAAATGAATGAATGAATGGATGAATTGAAATTTATAATTTTATAAAGAAAAAAAGAAAGAGAAAAAAAGAGTAGGTATTAAAAGTCTGTTTTGATGAATAAAAAAAAAATTTCTAAAAAGAAAACAAAAAATGAAATTTCCTCTTTTCATTAATTTTTTTTTATTTTTTATTTTTTTTTGATTAACTAATGTGTTTAACAAGGTAATAATTAAAATATTAATAAGAGTACCTACCTACATATTTTAAACATTCTTTGTATTTATAAGAGAAAATTGTTTTGTAAAAAATCTCCCTTAAATTTTATTTTAAAATCAAATAAGGAAAAAAATTTCCAATTAAAAAAAGTCCCAAAAAATTATTAGTTTTTTTTTTGTTAAAAAGAGAAAAGTATTAATTTTAAAATATGTAGCTATTTTATTATGAGATTTGATTTTTTATTTTATATTACTGTAATATGAAAAAACCAATTATAATTAACATAAAAATATGTAAATTTAACATAAGACTGCAGTTGTTAATTATTTATTTACTAAAATATTATAATTCTAAGCGAAATTTATAAATAAAAATACTGTCAAATGGGTGCACTTATATTTTAATTATTATATACAAAATTAAAAGGATATATATATATATATATATATATATATATATATATATATATATATATATAAATATATATATATATATACCGCAACGGAAATTACTTATCTCCGCATATTATTCTTTAAGCCTACTAAAATGTAGTAAAATGTGATGTGATTAAATTATATTATGTGTAATAAGTATCTATGTATGTAATAATAATTAATAACAATAATTATTTCTATTATAATGTTCAGTGTAAGAAGATATTACAATAATAATAATAATAACAATAATAATTGATCGCGGTGCCCCAAATATATTTAAATTAAAAACAAAAAAAAAAAAAAATAAAACCGAAAAAAAAAGAACAATAGAAATTTTCAATTTTCTCAAAAATATATTTTGTAGTACCTACCTACCTAGGTTCTTATATTTTAAACAAAATTCAAATACAATATAAAATTTAAAAAGAAACCAATATATGTATATATATACACATAACATGATATATATATATATATAAATAATACCTACTTACCTATCCATGCATATAAATATTATAATAAGAATTTATGGAAAATATATTAAAAAATAATCAGAAAAGAAAAATAAAAGCCAGAGAAAAGTCAGAGGCGACAAGAGGGATGATGCCTGCAATATAATATTGATGTTATTTTGATAAAAAAAATAAGAAAATAAAAAAAATAAATAAAAAACAAAATTACAAAAAAAAAAAAGGAAAATCAAATATGAAAAAAGAATAAATGTGAAAAATTAAATATAAATATGTATTTATCTACATACATATATGATATATATAAGAATTCCATTATTTATATAAGATAAAAAAAATAAAAGAGAAAAGTGTAATAAAAAAAAATTTAAAAATTTTTTTTTCAGTTTAAAAAGTAAAAAAGAAAATATAAATTTTATGTGATTACAAACCTTATGTATATATGCATATACTTGGGTATATTATATATATAATCAGATAATATATATGTAAGAAAACATATAAGTAGGTACCATGTCTACCTTCCTAGTTATTATTCGTTTATGGATACCCACAACTACATATATTGTAAATACATACAAAATTTGATATGCGAGTAAAATATTTGCTGCTCATCTTATAACTTTTTATTTTTTAATATTTAATTTGAAAATAATATAAATTTTATGTAAAAAAATTGAAATTATTAATCAAATAACCAGATATGGCTAATAAAATATAAATGGATAAATAAATAAATAATTATACTAATGAGATTATTAAAATACAAATGTTCATAGATAGATTCTTACTAAAATAAAATTATTAAAGATTTGAAAAATAAATAGGTACTTAAATGTTTTTTCAAATTTGTGTTATACTCTTAATTTTAAAACCTACCAAAAAATATGTATACAACAATAATACCAATATATATATATATATATATATATATATATATATATACAATAAATTTTAGTATATACTTTTAAAATATAAATTTTAGTATATTTTAGTATATTTAATAATAATTAAAATAATAATAATAATAATGACACTGATTTAAAAAAATCCTTTTCAACAAATTAAAGAATATTTATATAAAAAATTTGACTTAAAAAAATTTTCTACAGTACCTATGAAGTAAATACCCAAATTACAGAAATTCGGGCATCATTATAACCCTATAAATATAAGTAAAAAAATATTTAATAATTCAAATTTTATTATTATTTATAACTAAAATTATTCTTATTTTATATGTTTTTTATTATTACTTATAATTATATTATTATTTTTTTAATCTATTAATATAAGGTAATAAAATATTAAAACTTATACCCATATTTAAACAGAATAATATATTTACACCTACCTAATTAAAAAAAAAATTATAATTTACTAAAAATATCTAAAAAATTTTCACTAAATTTCAATAATAATATTATTTAAATATAAAGATAATAAATATATATATCAACTTATAAATATTCATTAATAAATAAAAATTAATTTTATTATATAATAAAATAAAAAAATAACCAAAAAAAATAAAATGGAAAATCGAAAATTTTTTTTCATTTTTCTTTTGAAGATCCTCCAATTTCATTATAATTATAAAAGTTTGTCTACAAAATTTATAATTCTATAAAATTGGATTTTAAATATAACTCTAATCACGATATATTTAGGTCTAACAATATAGAAAATATTTGAATGCTAATATAAAAATATATACAATAAATAATTACTTATTTATATTTAATTATTGTTATACACCTATCTATACTGAAAATATGTAGGTATAACTTATATTGACAACTTTATTCATTATCATTGATTATTATAAATATAAAATATACTTAAGTATATGAGTACCTACCTGGTTATATAAATATTTTTCGATATAGGTACTTACTTATTTACCGTCATATTGTAATACCTACCTATATATAATTTATATTCAACGTTTAAACAAATAAACAAACAATAATATAAAAATTAATATTAATAAAGTAGTTTTTTATTTTTTTTTTTTACAATAATATTATTTTCATGGATTAACTACATTACCAGCTTATATACATACCATACATAGATACTTATATTACTTTGATTTTTTTGGGATTTTATTTTTATTCATCGTTATACTTATTATGTATATATATATATATGAGTAAATAAAAATAATCACAAAACATCGAAGATTTATTACAATATAAAAAAAAATGCATATATATATATATATATATATATATATATATATATATATATTTCTGATATAATTTTTATTCTACATTTTTTTTATTATTATTGGGATTATCTACAATATAAACGTCTAACAATAAATCAAAAATAATAAAATAAAATCGAAAACAATAGAAAAAAACAACCACAAGAAGAAAAAAAAATTATTGAAAATAAGGAATAAAATATTGAAAAATTATAAAAATGAATAAAAAATTATATTAAAGGATTTTTTTCATCATTCAACAACAACATTATTTTTCTGGATGGAAGCATAAAATTACATGCATGAAACAAGTAAAATATCAAATCAATTTGGATTAATTCTTCAATTATATTGCTACATTTGAAAATATTATACAATCAATTCAAAAATTAATATAAAATTATAAGAGAGGAAAAATCAACAAATCAAATATTTAAAGGTGGGTAGAAAATATTTGTTTCTTTGGGAACATTATATAAAAATTATATAAATTCTTTTAAAAATAAATTTAATTTATTTCTAATTACTTAATCAAAAAATTTTAATATACATGAAAAATATTTTTTTGTTCTTTTAATTTTAGTATGAATATTTAATAAAAAATTAATTAATTACTGAATAAAATGAATGAAGTGAATGAGGAAATTGAATTCATTACGAAAGCATGAACAAGGGAATGAAGAAATGAAGGAATGGTTGAATGAATGAATGTTTGAATGAATGATTGAAGAGAACCCAAAAATGATTATGTATTTAAATTATGGATGTAATTCATTTGAAATCAAAATTACCTTTTTGCACAAGAACAGAGTGTAAATTTTTCGTTAACTGTGCCTTGAAAATCAGAATCGGCCCGAACTTTGCTCTACTTTTTTGCAGTAACTATACCTTAACGTGAACTTTTATTTGAATATACATAAATATATGCATTGTATAATGCTACTGTTGATATTTTTGATTAATTTTTGTAATTCTTTAATCAAAATTCATAGGGTTTTAGTCAAGTTTGAATCAAAATTATTCGTTCTAACCTAAAAGGTTGTCTGGTGATTTTACTTGATTTCTTTTAGGAGCTTTTAATAATCATGAATTTTTATTGATTTCTTTTTGAATGAACAAATAGATTTTGTTAAAAAATATGGTTCAGCTATCTTCAAAAGTTGTGTTTTAAGTATATTAATTAATAAAACTTGATTTAATTGTATTTTTAGTTTACCAAAGTAAAACATAAAATCAATTGTATTTTATACTTATTACTTAATGAAGAAATTTAATTTTTTATTTTGTTATTATGTATTCTCCCTCCTGTACAATTGATTTAAGTAATAGTTATAAAATTTGACCATATTTTTTACTCTCGAAACTATTACAAATAATTAAGTTCAACAGTTATGTTTTTGAACATTCTTAAAAGGAGCAATAGTTTAAATATCTTAAAGTAGATTGTAAAAGTTTTGCCTGTACATATATTTTAAATTTCCCTCACATTTTCAGTTTTTGAATTGTGAATTGAAGAAGGACTTCAAATATGATAATTCCTGAACTTAATCTTCGTTCAAAATTGATGAATCAAATGTAGGAACTAAGTGGTGTAATTATTCTGAATTATTATGAAATTTTATTATTTTAGTTCTTACTTGTTGCTTTAGGGCTAGGACTCTATCAAATCCATACTACTTATAAGCATTAAGTATTTTTCTTGGAATTTTTATAATAAGAGTAAGGATTTGTTTTGCCTTGTTGTTTTATTATTTTTGCTTCAAGTTCCCATTAAGTAGTTCCAAACGGCAATTTTATTTTTATATTTTATTTTAATTAAATGGTTACATACACATAATTACATATATAGTGTGTATTAGCTTTTTATTTTGAATTGTAAAGGTTTTAACGTGTGTTTAGAAAAAATTGGATATTCAATGTAATACTTGAAAAAAATAAGGCTTGAAATTAGAATCCTTATACATAGAAGCAAATATATTTAAAAAAAAAATGGCAACTGATAAAAAATATGCGAAAGTAACTTTAGTTTTCTAAAAAATCTTTGGAAAATATTAAAGTTATTTCAACTTAAGTAAATAACAAACTTATTTCTTACGTTTTACTTTTAATTTAGTTTAAATTACAATTTGTTTAAGTATTTCTAGCTCAGTTATATAAAAAGTTTAATTTCTATAGAATTTTTATCGTAAAGTTTAAAAAGAAATAAGCAGTTTAATTTTTTTTTGTTTTTCCTTTTTATTCATGTTAAATTCTTAGAAAAGCAAGAAATTCGATATTTTTTTATATTAGAACTGTGAACTGCTTAATTCAGCAAGACGTGCATGTGCTTTTGTTTGTGTGTGTTACATGTATATAAAAAAGTATATTGCGTGTATACTTGTGCACACATTTAAGATGATGAGATTAACTAAAACTATTGAAAGTTTTCAAAATAAATTCTTAGTATTGTTGAATATTTTAAGAATTTTCAAAATTGTAAAAATTTTTCAAATTACTTATTGATTTTGATTAAAGTTACAAAAAGTTAATTTCGAATTATGCAATTTTATTTGAAATTTTCAACCAAAAAAAAATTATGTTGAGTACCTCAGTACTTGATTACATACAAAACCCTAAATAAATTTTATTCAATTTCAAATTTGTTCACAAAATGATCAGCAATATTTTTTTTCACAAAAAAAAAAAATATATAGAAAAAGAAAGAATAAATTGCTGTTGAAAAAATTGATATAGGTGCAAGACGATATGTGCGTTTACTCCCAACTTTATTTGTTTTCTGCCTACATATTCATTTATACATATGTAAAGTTGATTGTATATTCTGAAATTTGTTGAAATTTGAGAAAGTGATTTCAGTAGCTTATTTGTTTTTCTGTTACTTACGAAAAGTAGGTTTTTTTTTGTGTCTCATAAAAATACAAAACAAAAAAAAAATACTTTTTTTTTTGGTGTCTCAAATTACAAGCTTGAATTTTTTTTCACTATAACTGGATTTTAAAGGCCAATATTTATGATATTTTAAATGAAACAGTTGCACTTGCAAAATTATTTATTTTTTTATATTTATAATTCAAAAAATTTTGGTGTCTATGACTGGGAAAGAATTTGAATTGAATTACTTAAGTATCCGTGAAATAAAAAATTAAGTCCGTTTTTTTTTTCTTATTTTACAAATTAGTATTGTGTTAAAACTACTCTAATATGAGATATGAAGGTAGATTATGCTAACAAGTGAATATTACTTTCAAATTTAGGTTTTAATTTTTCCGGATTTCTTATAAAAAAAAATTATTTAATACTTAGTTATTTGATACTATTTAGTAGTAGTATATTATGTTCGTATTTTTTTTTCATATAAAAATTTTAGTTTTGTTTGTAAGCAGTTTGTTTTATAATACTATTTCTGTTGTAATTAAATTCAATTTAGTTTTAATTGAATTTTGTTTCTAAGTTCGGAAACTAGGAATTTTTATAGAATTTTTCTCTTATAGTATACTAATTTTGAATTAGGACTTATTTTAATTCTCATATAATTTTTATTCAATTGTAATTAATTCAAGCAAATCGCTTGTTTGCTGCAACAACCTAATTCGGAATTTGCGCATATGAGAATTATGAATTTTAAAAGTTTTGGATTTAATATATTTTTTTCTTGTTATAAGTAACATTATTTGGATGACAATTTTCTAGCCAGAGAAATGGTTGAAAGTTGTTTTTGCATAAAAAAGAAATGTTTTAAACGCTTATTTTTGTATATAAATAACTAAGAAATCGTATTATTTGTGTTATGCCACTGTTGTTAAAGAATAAACAAAATGTGGAAAATTTGTGCTAACAACAAACATAGTTAAGATGTTCATTAAGCTATAAGTCTCTCTTTTATGTAAATTATGTTAAGTCTTATTCTTAACATATAATTCTTAAAAATTTTAAGAAACTCTTTACAATAAATTTAATTGTTGGAGCAATATATTTTTCTCTAACCAACCACTCTCAAGAAGCATATAACTTTTTAGGAATCGTTTTATGATTGATTATAACTCTTATAAATACGAGTACGATTACGTTTTAAGGTAAAGTAAAACAGGTTTTTCAATCAATAACACTACAAAATTTATTAAAAAATAATATTTCAACAAGTAAACCATGCTAAATTTGTGAATGTGAAGTTTTTTTTGTTTACCACTTATTTGACTTGACATCCCTTTTATCAATCGTTGGTAAAATTTTGTGGGTTAAGCGCATATATGTATCATGTGAGTATTATTATAGGGGCCATTCGAGATTCTTACATTACTTGTTTACAAGAAAAAATGACTTTTTCAACTGACGTTATTGTTTTGTTTTGACAAATAATAAATTTGTATAAAATTTTATTTACGTGCTACATATATCTATTAGCTATAATTGAGTTCTTAAATTTTTTTTGAAAAATTTTTATAGTCTTAATCGAATATATTTTTTTTTTTTGGCGAGCAGAATGTTGGCGGAATTTTGAAGTTGATGGGCCGTATATTGCCCCTGGCACGGCTGTTTTAAATAAGTGAAGCTATCTTTTTGATTCAAAGATATGGCTGAGGTTGCACCGTATCCATATGTATAATATTATAGAATTCTACTTTAGATTAGAGTAGAAAGTATAGAATAGAATAAAAAAAATTGGCCAAAGTTTTTTTTTTCCTGTATGCTTAAATAATTTCTTATTCCTTCAAAAATTAAAAAAATGATCGCGCGAATAACATATTCGAAATATTATTGATTGCATGTCTAAAGTTTATTGACTTATTTTTTCTTTAAATAAAAAACAAAAAAAAAAATCATACTTAACACAATTATTATCAATTAAAATAAAACAAAAAATTAAATATTTTTTTAATGGTATCATGATTTTTATACATTTAAATAATTTTTTTTTATTATTAATATTTTTCCTTAAGATTTCATTAAACTGAATGGAATACATGCTATTTAAAACTTGTTTATATGTATGTATATGCACATACATTCGAATATTAATTTGAAATATGATAAAGAGGAATAATCAAGGTTTACTTTTCATGTATAAATTACACAAGTGATTCTTAACATAAATAAAATTGTAATTTTACAATTAAAAAAAAAAAAAAAAATTATTACTACATTGTAACAATTTTTTTTTTTTGTAATTTATTTACCCATGTTTTAATTTGAGATTTCAAGACTGGTATTAAATTTCAAAATGTGTTGAATAAAATCAAGTTTAAAAACAAAAACAATGCAAGAAAAATTAATGAATGGATGGGGTTTAGAATTTTTAGAAAAAAAAATATTTTCGTTTTAACTGCAAATCAATAAATTTGAAAATAATTTCTTTTTTTAATTTATTAACTCATAAAATTCTGGTAGAACTCATAAAATTTTGGTTGGTTCTATTAATTTCCATACAAAACTTTTAGGGTC